TAAATTTATTTTTCACATCTTTCTGGTTTTATAATTCTCTAACCTTCTCTAGGTGTGTGGATGATGTTCTGTATCTAGAGAATAGTCTGGAGAATAAACAGTTCCGACCCAACATGGTTCTTGATCTTCCAGTCCCAGAGTCAAATAAGGTTTTTTAACATGATTTTACTCAACTTAACAATTTGAAATAATTAATAAAGCTTTGTGTTTTTTCTGGAATATATACATGGGAGCAACATAAAAGCTGATTACTCTCCTCATACTCTAATCCCTATACCTTTGACATTTCAGACTATTAATTATGTTAGATCAAATATTAAAATTTGAAATATCAAAGGTGGAAAGATAAGAGAGATTACAAAATAGAGTTTGTAGTGAGTGATAATTTTTTTGCAGATTTTTTTTATTCCTTCCATTATCTCAAATCGATTCGAAGCCTCACAGTTTAAATTTTATGAAGAGTATTGTTAAACTTTATTATCAAATTTAATTTCTGAATCATGTTAGAAACAGTTGATATATGAGCACTTTATGTGCCGGGGTAGTTTTGAAGGATCCAGACCTGATACTTCTCTTATTCTCCGAGCCCGTCAAGTTAATAAGAGGGTTGCACTCAACGTCGGGGGGATCAGGTAACTCTTCAATAAATTTACCTTTTCTAATCTTTCTTTCTTTACAATCTGATGGTGTAAAATTCCTAATCAAAAATATCAAAAGTCGACTACATCAGGTTGCTAAGATATAAGGATTAGAAAATTAGATTTTTTCACAAGTGTTTAGTTTCTTTCGCGTTGGATTGAAATCTGTCATGTTTACATTAATTTGTTAGATCCTTTTTTGACGAGAAATAATTGAGAAGAATGAAAAGGTTTTGAATTTCTTATAGGCAACCAAATAAATTAGATTTTATCATACCTGGGTGTAAATTAGAAACTAGATGAGGTACAGTGGTACTCATAAAACGGTGGAATATTAAGACGACTGCTAACTCAAGGAAATTATTATGCAGTTTGCAAGTGGGTTCATTTCATTTAATAATTTGATTTTCAAGCTATACTGCTTTTTAACAACATCAATAAATATAAGATTGCTTAACTTTGTCCTTATATTCCACAGATTAATGGGTCCCTCTTTACCCGGTCACCAAGTCCTCTCATTTCCCAAAAATCATGGGAATTCAGTGACGAATTGGATATCGTCTTTGTTATGAATTAGCATTGTAATACCTAAGTTCAAAACCAATAATATTATTATGTCTGCTAGAGTTTATTTTATGAAAAGGGTAAAAGACTGCAAGGATGTGTATATGATGGCTCCGCAAGATGAACAGTGAAGACGGACAAGTTTACTCTGTTTGTATACTGCAATTTTCTTGTTTTACTAAGTACAACCGCATGCAGTCAAAACATAAACAAAATGTGAACATAGCAGACGAAACTCTTACAGATTACAGCTTTCTCAGTAGATATCACTATACTAAATCAAAGAATTATTTAAAAAAACGATATCGAATTCGTGAGTGAATTCTCATGTTTATTGGGACACCCTGTATCTAAATTGGAGTGTTCTGTGTTTGATTTTTTTTTACTTTTAGACATGAAGTTATGTGGAAAATGCTGGAGCAGGGAACACAATTTAACACGTCTTTATTTAATCTTTTAAAAAAGAAACATCGTTATCATTTTAGTCTTTAACTTTTATAACTCTGAATATGCAGGCCATAACATATTAACCGACGTATCTGTCATAATAGTTACAAAGTATAAAATGAATTGAGTTTTTGCCACAAACTCGGATTTTCTAATTTCAATATCGTTGCAACCCAATGACGTAGACCTTTAATATTTCAAACTATGAATGCTATTGAATCAAATAATGTAAGTTTTAAATATCAAAGGTTTACATCATAAGATTACAAGTTATAGGTTTTACATAAACTGAATTTGTGGTAAAGACTCAATTCCTTTGTTTTTACATGAAGTGTTCATATTTCTTTAAATTCAGTTGTTCCTCAATTCAAGCCTCGCCTCCCATTATAATTTTTCNTATAATAAAAGGTATTCTTGAATTTGATAATTCTTAATGTCAGTCATTCCTTCCGCCTATATCTTACATAATACCTAAATCTTACTATTTCTACATCTTTGCCACATTTTATATTTGAAACTACATGATCTTGCAGATTAATTCGACATCAGGTTGTGAAGATATGAGTTTTGAGACGATTAATCAGCTTCTTAGTTTCGTAAATAAAAAAAAATTCTGAATGTTGTTGTTGTTGGTCTAAAGTATCCTGGGAGTAGGTTGGGAGCCCTGGCTAGAGCTGAAACTCATCAAGATATTTTTAAACTTGTCTCAGATTATTCTCTTCAAGAAAATGAATTCTTTTTTGACAGGTAATTCATGAAAAATTTTACATCATCTTTTCAAACATGTCATGGTTCTCTGCTAAAAAAAGAAATCCATACAAAATGAAGATTTAGAATATTGGGGCATAAATGAGGATTTGCTTGGTGAGTAAAAATATAAAACTCGATAAAAAATCTAATTGAAATAGTTTAAAAAATTACTATCAATATTTAAATACATACATAAAATGTTGTTTAGAAACCTGCTGTAAAAACAAGTTTGACAGAAAACTAGAATTTGTTTTGGAGGTAGGTCATGAAGCACCCCCCCCCTGGACCTAGGTTTTTATTGTTAAAAATAATATACAATTATGTACGTAAAAAGTTGTTTATTTAGAGTATGGAGAGCGAATGTGTCAAAATGCAAAAAGAAGCAGAGGAAGAATTTGGGAACCACTGTATGTCAAGGTTTGGAACAGCTCTGTTTATTATGGTTTCGATAAGTTTTCTGTCAAGATTTGGATCCATTTTGTGTTAAGGTTCGGAATCATTTTATGTTAAAATTTGGACTTATGTGTCGAGGTTTAGAACCATTTGAGTCAAGGTTTGGAACTTTGTGTCGAGGTTTAGAACCATTTGAGTCAAGGTTTGGAATCATGTGTCGAGGTTTAGAACCATTTGAGTCAAGGTTTGGAACCGTTGCTGAGAAATATTTTGTGTCAAGGTTTAGAACAGGTGTGTTTTACTTCCCAAAATATTTCTACCAAAAGAAATATAAAATAGAAGATTTAAAAATCAATCAAGATTTTTCCAATAACTCCTACAAAACTAGAGAGCTAGAAAAAAACGCTTTACAGGTTTTAAATATTTATATCCAGAGCTTCTGATAGAAAACTTAAAGGGTCAGGAAAGTTACGCAAAGAGCCAAGGGTTGGCGACACTTCAAAGCCAGCTCAGTCTCATTATTTGTTGAAAACTGTGCAAAGAATGTTCTAGAGAATTTTCGTTTCGTAGATACCAGACATGTTAGTTTAGATACCAGAAATATTCGTTTAAATACCAGAAATGTTTGTAAAGATACCAGAAATGTTCGTTTAGATACGTTTAGATACCAGAAATTTTTATATAGATACCAGACATGTTTGTTTAGATACTATAAATGTTTATTTAGATACCAGAAATGTTTGTTAGATCCTAGAAATGTTTGTTTAGATACCAGAAATGTTTGTTAGATCCTAGAAATGTTTGTTTAGATACCAGAAATGTTTGTGGGATCTGATTGAGCACCCTGACACGTCTAGCGCAGCTCAGTTCGTCTCCTATATCTCAATGATATTTGTGGTTGTTTCAACTATTGGGATGTCCCTCAATACTATGCCTGGGATGCGAGTAAGTATTTGAAAGAATTACCCCCACCCCCCTCCCTCCTTCCCCACCTGCATGGGGAAGATAGGAGAAATTGTTTTGGGAAAAAAAGAAAAATTGTTCATCAACATTCAACTGGCAGCTTTTACTCGCTTTTTTAGGTTAACAAAAATTCATTTATTTTTCCCTCAATACCATAATTTGTAGAAAGCGAGGATTATTTTTCAACAAAATATATAACTCTGTAAAAAAAGTTCTAAAATCAACTTCCATTGCCAAATAAGAAACTTTTTGTAGATCATAGACGCGAATGAGAACTCGGTGGAGCACCCAATGCTCGCTCTTAATGAAGCTGTATGCATTGCTTGGTTCACTCTTGAGTATTTTCTTAGGTAATTTTATTATAATACATTCTAAATTACTTAAAACCTTTAAAGGGAGAGACCGGCTGGGTAACAAATATGAAACGCAAGTACAGTGTTATAGAGAAAAAATTTAGGATTCATTGGATAATAATGAGACGTTTTTACGGTTTGTAATTTCTTAGTAAGAGAGCAAATTCGTTTGTAATTTAACAAAAATTCTACAGAATAGTTATTTAGGCATATTTCTCAATAGAAAGTAATTGAGTCGTTGCCACAAACTCTGATATTTAAAACCTTAGATCTTTGCAAACTAATGTCGTTATAGTCCTTAGATATTTCAAACTATAGATCCTATTAGATAAAATAATCCAAGTTTAAAAAATAAAAAGATTATATCATAAGGTTGCAAAGATATATAGATTAGGAAATTTGATGTTGTGGCAAGGACTCAATTCTTTTGTGAAGAAATCAATGGTAGAATCAATCATTTATTTATCCTTCATTCTAAAGTTTAAATTCGACATTTTGAGCAGTTGATGCTTCTAGATTGATTGGATCCCCCAAGAAGCTGGATTTTCTCAAGAACGGGTTAAACGCAGTGGACGTGCTGGCGATTATCCCGTACTACGTGGAGCTAGGTATGTCGGAGGAGAACGAAGAGGAGGAGGATTCCGGGTTCAAGGGGATCCTCCAGGTGTTCAGGGTGTTCAAGCTTGCCAGAATATTTAAACTTGCCAGGTAAACATTATCATTTCTAGAAGAATTGATTATCATTATTAGCTTCTTGTAAATGCATGTTGGATACTTTCCCAAATTCCTTTTTCTGGAAGACAGTTTCTAAAGTATACATTTCCAAGAAGTAATTTCCCAAATATAGATATCCCAGCAGACACTTTCCCAAATATACATTTTCCTAAATATACCTCTCCTGCAGACACTTTCCCAAATAACGCATTTCCTAGTAAAACTTTCCCAAATGTACATTTCCTATTTGAAACTTTCCAAAATACACACTTTCCAGTAAAACTTTCCCAATTTTACATTTCCTAGTTGAAACTTTACCAAATACACATTTCCTAGAAGAAACTTTACCAAATACACATTTCCAAAAGAAACTTTACCAAATACACATTTCCTAGATGAAACTTTACCAAATACTCTTTCCAAATACATATTTTCAGCAGACACTTTCCCAAATACACATTTTCAACGGACACTTTTCAAATCCACATTTCCAACAGACACTTTCCCAAATACACATTTCCTAGTAGAAACTTTACCAAATGCACATTTCAAGCAATCACTTTCCCAAATAAACATTTCCTTGTAAAAACTTTCCCAATTATACATTTCCAACGGACACTTTCCCAAATTCCTTTTTCTGGAAGACAGTTTCTCTAGCAGACATTTCCCAGAAGTATATTGGTCTCGTTGTATACTATGGTTTGGTTAGTCTACAGGAGAAGCAGTGATGTTGCTAACACACGAGTAGAAAGATTTTCAATTGGTATTAGCCAAAAAAGTTTCAGATATAACTGTTTTTTATACAATAAAAAGTTATAATGCATACAGTACTGATTGAAGTTTTGTGACATTGTGGAAGACGATACCTAGCCGCCTAAATCAACTTCGACAAGAATGAGATAGAACGGATACGGGGCATTGTACTTTGAATCTACACGTGTGATCTTGATATTTACTCTTTTTCTGAACCCTCTAGTAATAGGTTATAAGAAATATATATACTGGAAGTTACTTTATGCGTTTCATTAGAGTTTGACCTCACGTCCTCTTTAACATAAACAATTTTTTCGGATTTCAATATCTTTATTGTTTTATTATTAACTATTACAATATTAAATCAAATTTAAAGAAAAATAAAATATTTTCAGACATTCTTCTGGTTTACAGTCTATTGTGTTTACCCTGAGACAGAGCTCTAGAGAACTAGGATTACTCATTCTATTCATAGGTAAGAGAGAATACTGGAAGATATGATTAGACCAGCCTCAGGGACGGGAATCGGAAAGGTCGCTTAACTATCTACTGCAGATGTTAAAATCCTTGAATCCGTGATTCAGGATTTAATCCGGTGGTGGTAGATTGTTCAACGATCTCTCTCCATTTCTTTCAATTCCGTCCCATGAACTTCAATATCTTTACAACAGAAATAAACTGCAGTTTCTGGGAGAAATATTTTAAAACTTGGAGTGCAGCTACGTTTTGTTTCCCTAGATACATTTATCTAGGTTTGCCTCATAGAAATCCAGAGAACCATTTTCCTAGCCCTCGACATGTACATTTTAAAAATAATCTTACCTGTTCCTAGCTTCAAATTTTATGTATACTTAATTTTGAAAATAAATATATTGGGTTCCTTCATGATGTATCTATTTAGGGTTACGTAGAGTGTAGTCTAAGCTATTCATACGATTTGTTGTAATAACTTAACTTCAAGGGAACCTTGGAACGCTTTAAACTCTTGGATCTCCAGTTCAAATTAAGATTTCAGTAATAAACACAATTCATAAATTCTGTTAATGGTAGCAATTGATAAAATTTAAAACTTGGTTGAACTATGAATTTAAAATTAAGACTGAACAACTGCAATTTATTGATGATCCTCCCCCTTTTTCTTTTGAATTTTCTTATTGTATAAAAATAAAAATAAAAAAAGTCTAACGTAATAAAAAGATTCAAAAGATAATTTAAATCGTATTTTAAATAAAAAGCAAGAAGCTTTTTGTTAAATATTGGTCACTTTCGAACTGTACTTAAAGTAGGAGAGTTAAGTACACTTCAACCTAATGTACTGCAAACAATAAGTACATGGTTTAGGTATGGCAGGTTTAGTGTTCTCCAGTCTCTGCTTCTACATTGAGCAGGTTATTTTTACAAACAGACATTATTCTAGAACTAAGTAATTTAATATTAGAATATTTTTAAATGAGTATCAACAATCTCGCTTTTAGCCACGGTGGTGTTTATTTAAATCAGCGTGGGGGTATTTCAAACAAAGAAATCGTTGGATCTTCCAAACATAGATATTCTAGGTCTAAATCCTTTAACATGTTATTTATCTTTTGAAATTCCAGATAATACACCCAATTAAAGGAAATAGGCACAAATTATATCGCTCAAAAGATATTCCCGAGAATAGTCAATTTTTTTTCACAGTAACTATAAGAAAACCTAAATTTCATGTTATTCATTATATTTCATCATCTTAAAGTTGTTCGTCTTTAAATCTTACTTCATAGTATATTTAACACCACATTTGTTATTTTGGACAATCCAATGAGCAGAAAATGTTGATCAAATATATGAAAGGACTTGAGTCTTTGCCACAAACTCTGCTTATCAAATCCGTTTTTGTAACCTGACGGAGTGATCCTTTGATATTATAGTTTGTGGCAAAGTTTTAATTTCTTCGTAAGAAGGGTTTCTGGCTAAAACTCGATGATTATTATGACCGAAAGTTTAAACCAGTCTGGTGCACAGGAACAACTTTAAACCGAAAAGATTGAAAAGATTGGTGAATTTAGTGTATTTAAATATTTGAGGATGCAGATTCCGGGTATACAAGTATACCAACATCCTTCTACTGGGTGGTTATTACGATGACAACAGTCGGGTATGCTTATCCATTATTACTGGATTTATCATATTTTTAAAGATATTTTTCAAATGTGTACAAAATATTTGCATATCTGTGAACCTTTTTAAATATAGTATTTGTTTTCAAATATAATTCAAGGACAATTCAGAGATCATATTAGTATTTTCTTAATAAATAATTGTACTCTTGGCAACATGTAGAACAAGAATTGAATATCAGCAATTTGTTTAGATATGGAGATATATTCCCTGTAACAGGATTAGGAAAACTTGTTGGTACATTCTGTGCGATCAGTGGAGCCCTCGTTATGTCCCTACCTATACCCATCATTGTCAGCAATTTTGAGAGGTAGTTGATCATTATAACTTATTTGTATCTAAAAAAACGTCAAAAGAACCCAGAGAAGGATTAAGACCGGTAAATAATTGTAAAAATTGCCTAAAAATTTTCCATTCTGATGGCTTTATTGAGATCCACCAATATAAAAGAAATTAGAAAATCCGCAAAATATCAGGGACGCGAAGTATCCTGCAAGTCAAGTATTTTCCCCTTTTCATTGATTACTTCATATATAAGTTTACCAGGTATTATTGTGAGCAGAATCACAACAACAGCTTGAAGGCCCGGCGCGCTAGGATAGCTGCTGCGCGTAAAGAAGAAGAGAATGCGAGATTCTCAGACTGGGGGATACAATCAGTTCCAACCTCTCCAGTACAACATCACAGTAAACTAACTTTAACAAATGGACTGTCCACGTTATCCTTTAAGTGATCCTTCATGTTAAGATTTAAATATGCCATCAGTAATGAGCAAGATAACCTTTCATCCTTTATGTAACATAGCGCAACTGGAGGTTATTTGATGTACACTGCCGACTTTAAGGCAGCTACAGCAAGGTGTACACTGTACACTGTACAGTATACATACAGACTGTGGAAGGCAAATAAATCATCCCTTTCTAGTAAGATTACGAAAAGATGAGCTTTAAAACTGTTATTATTTCTCAATTTACAATAACAAATACGGGGTTTAGATTTTAGTCCAGAGGATACTCTTGTGATTCGTTGATGGCACAATTTTAGTTCATGGTATCTTGCATATACGTTGACAGTCCCTTTAAGAATAAAATATCTTTTCCGGCAATAAACGTTTTAATATTTCAGAAGAAGAGAACCTTGTAGATATGCTGAGGAAGGAAAGAGGAGCAGCTTTATTCAAATCTCCGTCCTCTGTTCTCCAGCTCCCCTTCCCATCCTCTCCTTCTCCAGCCTCTACTCTTGTATAATCATCCTACAGCTCCCCTTCCCATCCTCTCCTTCTCCAGCCTCTACTCTTGTATAATCATCCTCCAGCTCCCCTTCCCATCCTCTCCTTCTCCAACCTCTACTCTTGTATAATCATCCTCCAGCTCCCCTTCCCATCCTCTCCTTCTCCAACCTCTACTCTTGTATAATCATCCTACAGCTCCCCTTCCCATCCTCTCATTCTCTAGCCTCTACTTTAGTATAATCATCCTCCAGCTCGCCTTTCCAAGTTCCCATCCTCTCCTTCTCCAGCCTCTACTTTTGTATATTCATTCATCCTCCAGCTCCCTTTCCAATCCTCTACTCTTTTATAATCCTCCACCAGCTCCTCTTCCCATCCTCTACTCGAATAAAGAACCTTGAAGCTCTTTGATTCTGACAATCTAAAGCTTGAATTTAGTTTTTGGTCTAAAATAAATGTTTAATATTTAAAGGTTTAAGAAATTATTTGATGAAAAACGATATGTTTAAAGCTGTGGGGAACCACCGATGTAAGAGACGAAAGAGAAAAGGAGTAATAAATTCCTTACATAAAAGAACAAATTCAAGTAGAGGGTGTCCCCCGAAACTTGACAGTAGAAAGATGACTTAATTGTTTGCATTCATTATTCAACCTATTAATACATGTACAATTCTTGAAATAAAAAGAAAATTCTGCTTGTCCTGGCATTCCAAAATGTGGTTTTCCTTTTTGTACTCTCAATAACAATATTTAAAGGTCAATTTAAAAAAAAATATTACTTAAAGTAAAAGTACCCAGCATTCAATCTTGTAAAAAGGAAAGTTTGCTCGAAAAAAATACATTCCGATCGTTAGTGCTAAGGTCGGCACCTCACGGCTCATCATAGCTAACACTGGCTCAATCAAAGAAACACTCAGAAAACTTTCCTAAAATTTTAACCACACAAGGAGTCCCGATAAGACTCTCTTTTTAAAACTCAGTTTCCCTTTAATGCTACGAATTTTGGAGATAATTTTTTAGAATTTAATTCATCAAATATCAGGATTTTTTTTTACATATTCAATGAATATTATTCATTCAATTATCTGCTATTCGACAGTTCCTCGCTAATCATGGTTTAAGGTTGGCTTATTCTTATTCTTTAAATTATCTTAACTTTAAGAAAACAGAATTACAATAAAATGGCGATCTAGTTGTTTCATGCCTAAAAAATCGTCTAATTGCATTATTCTAAAGTGAGCCAGTTTAGAAATATATCAGAAGTTTATAAAAGTAAGAGTAAAATAGAATATATCAAAAATTGGAACTGTACTCTATGCTTTAGTTGTAAACCTACATAACTTCAAATTTAAGTTTGCTTCTTTGTATTATTTTTTTTTCTCTTCATTGAACCCAATTTTAATTGTTCACAGAAATTTTGTTGGAAAGTCAAAATAAATAATTAATCGTTATTATTAACAAATCAAATATTTCATAATTACTAATTACAATCAACGAAACATAATTGACATTAAAATACAGGATTAGGGCGCATTGCATCCAGTTTTTTAGAATAATTTTCCAAAACTTTGTCCCAATGAGTTTTTAACTGAATATGTTTTTCCATGCCAGGTTTAGCACAACTGATCTGACAATCCGTGCACTTCCACATCAGCTGATTGGCTAATTTCATCTCCGCAAGCAACTTCTCACGCGCATCTTTACTGTACCCCATTTTTCTTCGCGCATTTGAACATTCCAGGGCTTTAGCGTTCTTTTTCTTCTCTCTCTCCTCCTCAAATGCGTCCATAGACATCATGCTAGACCTACTAAACTGTCCGTCCTGTGAGTACGGGGCCGGATTTGAACCGGCGCCTCCGAAATTTATTTTCGTCTTAGGTAGCGACTCCTCGTCGGTTGAGACACCCTGGGCTTCCTCCTCGGCGTCCCCGGGAATGTTGGCACAGACGACGGACACGACCTGATAGAAGTTGTTTAACTTATCGGGGTGTATCCGATCTATGTTCTCCAACCGTTCCTGCTCCGGTAGCGGGATATTCCGAACCTCGGTCTTGGTTCGGCCAGTAACCACACCAGTTGCAAGATATCTGAAACAAGATATTATCCGTTAAATATGATTTTAGATAATTTTAAATAACACAAATAACAAGGAAGGTAGTAGAAGTATGAATTTATAAATATATTAAAGATTAGAATCTAGCATTTACCTGATATTCTTTAAATTCTCCGACTCTGGAACTAACAGAGCTTTAACCTTGATATAGTCTCCTTCTCGTAAACATTGGTTCAGGTTCATGTTCAACTCCGTTGCTGTGTGTTCTCCAACCCAAAGATCACATGTGTCAAACAGTACAATTGCACGGTTCCTATCGAAGGTAGGAGGAGGTCCGGCAAACTTGACCACTGCCAACCCGTAGTTCTCATCAATGATACTCGTAACTCGTCCCACCACCTCCCTGAGCAGAGGTTTATTCGCCCAGAGTAGACGGGGAGGAGGTGGTTGCCGGTGCTGAACTTGATTCGGGATATTTTGTATCTTCGCAGATCCGTACACACTGGGAGGAGGGAGACTAGTTACAGGGATAATAGTTCCAGGTTTACTTGTGATCAGTGACGTCAATCGTTCGTATTTTTGAAGAAAAATATCATCCATCTTTCCCTGGTTGTCCGGGGACCTGTTCCAGTACACAGGGTTCCAAACTGCGGTTGCAATGTATGGGATAGGATTGTTAGGGTTGATAAGGATTATGTGTGCTTTCAAGGACGGAGAAGAGAAAATGGGAATATTATCTGCAAAATTCTTGATTCTCAGCTCCTTAGAAATAGAGAACTTGTAGTTGGACATATCGAAGAACGCATAAACAGCAATACGGTGTCCTGATGGAGTAGGAATCTCGCAAAGTATTACTCCTTCCTTGGCGAACAATCCTTGCTGGTAAAGGAGTCTAGGGGAGCAGGGGACATTGGATAATTGTGAAGGATAATTTGGTCGGATTGGGGGTTGTGGAAGCTCTCTATAGGATCCATAAACCAGTCCAGAGGTTTTATTGACATCAACCAAACTCATTTCTTGTATGAGCTTAATCTGCTCCTGTTTATCAGTACTCACGCTCTTCTTCATCTGATGAAAGTAAGCCATGGGGATACCGTTGATGATTTCTTTCTGCATTCGGGCCTGGTTCGTTGCGTTGAAAAAATTCAAAGTTTTTAGATCCAACTTGATCAAAAGTTCACAGTTCAAAAAGAAAGCTGTGCAGGAGTGTTCTGCGTGAAAACTATCCGGGTATACCCGGAGGAACGTTGGTTTAGGAGCTAACCTTGTATTAGGTTCAGTTTCAGGAGTCGTCTTTATGAACACAGTAACCGCCTGGAGAACGGGGCAGGCAACGTTCGGGTTCATCAGAGAAAGGTTGAGTTGACTGGCAGCTGTAAACACTCCCTCATATGCTCCCTCTCCAACTATAGATCTAGCTGTGAGGTCAACCTCCTGTCCATGTAGCTGCAGCATAAACTCGGACGGAGATTTACGAAACTTTTCTCCTGTCCCAGTATAAACGTCCTCAACGTGGAATATTGCAAACATTTTAGTAATCCTCAGTTTAGGATCGTCAGTCAGATTCCCTCCACGGCGGTGCTTGATAATAATCACACCATTTTCATCATCAACCACCTTGTACACCTTGGCCTCCCACATCGGCGGAAGTAGATTAAGAAGTACAGGAACAGCGTTCATATTCTTCAAATCCAGTTTTCCTAACTTCTTGAAGTTGTCGAAATGTACATCTAATGTTTTGATGAGCTTAAGATGGTTCTCCGGGAGGGAGTACATGTGAATATATCCCGGAGGAACCTGACCATCCTCCAACCCTCGTCTAGTAAACATACTCCAACTATCTGCTGGGGGAGCATGTGCTTCTCTGTGTCTGCACAGCTCTTTATTCCAGATTACCATTGCCTTCACAAACAAAGCATTATTGATAAAGTTAAAAAAAATTATAATTTGAGAACAGAAAACTTTGAGAAAACTACTGTTTAAAAAATAAAAGAACTTTTTAATAAAGATGTTTTACTTTTCAAGTGAAAACCAACAAATATCAGGCATAGAGGAAGGATTTAACGCTTAAGCTTAATTCAGAAGAGAAGGGAAGTGTAGAAAAAAAAATCAAGGAAGACGACTTTGAACAAATTCTTTAAAACTTCAAGTACAGTAAATACAAAGTTTAATAAATATAAAAAATAAATTTAAAATTTTAAGTGGCTTTGGCTAATAATATGAAAGTGAAAGGAAAATAAATTTTTAACTTTTTTTTTTACATATTTTTAAAAATGATTTTTCTGCTGCAAATCTAAAATATCGTGAAATCGATTTTATTCTTCAGACAAATAATCTTTCCTGGCCTTCAAAGCTAAAAGTTTTGTAATTTCAAACTGAATTTATTGTGAAGTACTTTGTCCCACTTACAGAAAAAAAATCATAAAATTGTAAGATTCTCAATTTTTAGAAGTGTCTAGCTTAAGTAAAAGACGACATCTTATAAGAGTCGCTGAATTCCGTTGCATATGAATTTTACCAATTTAAGAATCCCAGAGTGTGTAAAATCTATTACGCTGTTAAATAAATATTATGACGTTATATTTTTCAATAATTCATTTAAATCAAGTAGAGAGAGAATTTAATCTTGAATGAAAAAGTAATGAGATAATTGATTACTGTTAAAAAGTACAAGGTTAAAATTGCATGATGTTTGGTTAAACTTTAAATATTAAGATCTCTTAAGGTTATTTTCTTTTTATTAACACTTTATCTTCAAACCAAAAGTAACGTTCTGAGGAACTGATAGATGTAATTTCAAGTTACCAAGCCATTAAAGGTTCTATAAGCACAGTACCATTTAAACATTTAAACATTCATCTGGGCAACAATGAGGAAGATATCGTCGTTATTTCAACTTAAAAAGTGATGAATTCTGTAAATTATGTTTATTGTTTTTCCAATATCACTTTTACAGACTATGGACAAATTAAATATTTCAAAATAGAAAAACTAAAAACGATATTATGAAACGTCAACAGGGTAAATATATACTGGATTTCTGGAGAAGACGATATTAGTTAATATCTTTGTCTACCCGAGAAAATTCGTCGAAATTTTCTGAAGCGCTATCTTTAATTAGCAAAGTCTTTGATTCAATCATACTCTCTCAAAAAAGGGTCTTTGACAAAAAAAAATTAAGTCCAGCGTTTTGTTGGAATCAGCTAGATTAAAATAAGTACATTTTTTAATAAAGTTTTTTTAATTACCTGGTATCTAAGATGACTATAAGAACTGCACGGTAGTTTCCTCACACTGAGAGACACTACAGACCCAATCGGAAGATAATCAACGCTTAACGGACTTTTTATCACATCCTTGAAGAGAACCCAGTTCCTGTCCTCATATATCCAAACTTGATCCAAATGGAACAAAGCACACGCTCCCTCCTTACCCATCAGACGAACCACACCCATCTCAAAGCTCACGTACTCCTGCACAGTGCCCTCCAACGAGCTGTGTTTGTCAACACTAAGCACCATTTCTAGTTTCCCGCATTTCCCAGACTGATACTGCGCCAGATGAAAGTTTAGTTCCGCCGGAAGTTCCCGGAACCGGAACAGCGCTGGTTCTGGAGGAAACCCTTGCAGCCAAACTGCCTCCGCCTGACCTTTCACGTCTCTTGTTTTAGGAATCTCGCGGATGTGACAGCTCACCTCTCTACCAGGATAGAAATGCTTGGAAAGGTCTCCGGTTGGATATATTTCTGTAAACGGAGAAAATCCTGCTGAAGGATGCTTTATCCAGACTTGGTTAATATGAAACAGAATTTTTGTTTCTTTGGGACCAGACAAGATTCCAACCTCTTCATTCTCGTAGGTAAGAACGGATACTCGGAGTCCGTTGACTCCGGAAGTCACCGGAGACTTTGATCTACTCACATACTTTTTTATTGGTTTCTTTAAAGATTCAGCATTAGCCCCGTACTCATCTAACTCCGACCCTCCTGAACCAGGACTCCCGTCTCTGGGGACAGATCCTCCGTTTCCTTCCTTGTCCTTCCCTGATCTGCTAAGCTGCTGCCAACGTCTCCAGCGCGCATTATCTCGAACCGACAATTGGACACCGCCGGAGAATCCAAGACCCGGCCGATCATCTCCAGTAGGAACAGGTGTAGTAGACACATCTTCTCCGTGAACCAATTTCTTTAACTTTAATCCAGGAAGTGCTCCGCGGCCTATTCTTACAAACCTTCCTCTACCTCTACCTCTCATAGGAACAGAGGAAGTAGGAAGGGCACCTTCGGTGTCTTCATCAGAGGGAAATACATTCCGACCTATTGCAAGTTTAGCTTTGGAGGAGGGTGCAGGTATAACTCCAGTTCCTCCTCTCATCATCCTCATACGTCCTCTCATTCGTCCTCGGAAACTAGATCTTCCTCTGTAGTATTCGTCGTGGTGATCCTGGGCCTCATCATCAGGACTGTAATCTCTATGTTTTCTCTCCGGGCTCTCTTCTTTGAACCTTCTTTCTTTAGAGCTTTTGTTTCTCTTACTCCGCTCACGGGAATGATCACGTTTATGTTTTTTCCTATCCCTGTACTTATCATCTCGGTCATGTGACCGATGTCGGTCGCCGCTTCTAGATCGTTTTCTATCCCTGCTCCTTGACCTCCGTCTTTGCTTTTTATGTTTCTTGTGAGATTTCCTATCCTCGTATCCGTGGGAGTTCTCATCCTCCTCCTTCAGTATCCGGCTCATATCCTCAGCAACCTGGGCGTAGAAATCCTGATCTGCAGGATTAGGGTTTCCTAAAATCCGTTGTTTCTGTTCAGCCTGGGGCGGAGAATCTTCTCTCCACACTACCGACGCCAAGTATGGTATAAAGGCGGACTGCTTCATGAGCCAAGCATCACAATATACGTGCATATTCTCAAACTTTGCGTTCTCCGGGAGATGAAGGTTTCTATAACTAAACACACAGTAGATTGGTCCACTCTGATTTTCAGTCTTCACTATCCCTGCCTTCAAAGAGTGGCTGCAGAGCAGAATCTTTCCTTTGCAATCATGCAATTTCACAGGAAGATCTAATTCAGGGGTCCGTGGTCCGGATCCGTCAGGGGTCCTGGGTCCGGTCCTTTCAGGAGTTCGTGGCCCACGACCATCTGGAGTCCGTGGTCCTCGGTGTTCTGGCGTCATTGGACCGCGTTTATTTGGTGTTCTTTGACCAGAACCGTCCGGTGTTCTGGGTCCGTTTTCTGGACCAGAATTTACTTCTAATATTTCTACATCATCCATTTTTAATGATTATTCATCTGAAAAAAACTTATAGAAACATTTTTTTTAAACATGTCATGACATTAGATTTTTTAAAAATTTAAAAAATTTGTTAAATTTGTCCGAAAGACATAAGAGAATTCTTATTTTCAAATACAATATAATATAAAGTTTTTGTAAGTCAAAAATGTGTTGTTTGAAACTAGAACATTTATCCAAGGCCATGGTTTCAGCATAGGTATTCCATTACGATTGCTTTCGTCATAATTACAGGAAATGGCTGAGTACTATTTAATATCTCATGAAAACAGAGACATCTGATATTTTGAAAAAGGTTAAGAGATCTTTATTTCGACCCTAAAAACCTACTTAGGCAAGGCACTAAAGCCTTCATACGTTTTGAGAAACTTGTTTCAGAAAATGAATAAGAAACAGTAAATCCTAGTATGGATAAAAAAAAGCCTATTTAAATGAAAAACCTAAAACCATGAAAAAGTTAGATTATACAAACCCTTGTTAGAACACTAAGAACCTGAAACCTTTGCATAAATAAGAAAAAAACCTAGATTTATCTGAAAATTAAATATTTTTCTTTTTTGTCGCTTTTTTATTAGCTTTTTGCAAAATCAAGTAAAAGGGGATGGTGGAATATGTCCTATTTGATGAGGGGGGGTGGGGGCAACTGCCTCCATTTTTTATTCAAGTCTTCCAATTTTTTCGCTGCACGCCTAATTAGCAATCGAAATTCCTAAAATAAAATAAAACTGAATTTTTATTACCTCAAATGACCTCCACAAATAGAAAATATTTCAACTATGGCTTTAAGCATGTCAAACGAAAGCTAGGAACCCATGGAATACAGTAGCAGTAACAAATCCAGTGTTTGACCTTCTAATGACCTCTTACGACCTCTAATGACCTAAATGACCTCCAAAAATGAAAATCTTTTAACTATGGCTTTATGTATATAAATTAAAAGCTAGGATCCCCAGGAATACAGCAGCAGCGACGAATCCAGTGTTTGACCTTCCGATGACCTCTAACGACCTCTAATGACCTAAACGACCTCCAAAAAATGAAAATGTTTTAACTATGGCTTTATGCATATCAAACTAAAGCTAGGAACCCAGGGAATACAGGAGCAGCTGGATTCCTAGCTTTCGTTTGATATGCTTACCGCCATAGTTGAAATTTCTATTTTTGGAGGTCATTAGTGGTCATAAGAGGTCATTAAAATTCAATTTTATTTTATTTTAGGAATTTAGATCACTAATTAGGCGTGCANATAGGCAAACTTAATATGACACCATAGAAACCTTAAACACATCATAGGCAAACTTAATATGACACCATAGAAACCTAAAACATATCATAGGCAAACTTAATACGACACCATAGAAGCCTAAAACCCCCCCATCATCATAGAAAACATGTAAATCCACCTTAGAACCCAAGAACCCCGTAGTTATAGAAAATCTAAAAATTTCTATAAAAACATGAATAAAAACAATGGCAGGACAAGTAGCCATTTTTAAGTATTCTGCTAAATGTCTTTCAATTGAATTGCCAACAAAATTTGCAATTGTATACATCTGTGTTGAAGAGGTAGAATTTGGACGTTCTTAACATTCAAAATATTGATTCAGCATTTGTCACGAGTTTAAGAAGTGTTGTAGCATTGGTCGTTACGCAATTGAAAATTAATCAATACAAATGGATTATGTCAATCTTTAGAAACAGAAGGCGTAAATGTGAACCGTCATGGCAATCTTTAAGTCTTGGTTCTATAATTGAAGTCAGAAATTTTGAGAAATCTTCCGAAAGAGCGTGCTCCGAATTATATATTTGTTACCATCAGAACTAAAACCCACCAAATCATTTTCTTAAATCTGAAATTAAAATTAGAAAATTGCAATCGAGTAAACAAGTTGAACTACATAGTTAGACCAAGTCTGAAAGTCTGAAAGTAATGTTTAAAAACAAGAATGTATTGGTTACAATTACAGGTTACTAAATCTAAGAACAACTACCCCCAGATATATTCTTCATTGCTCTCTGCACAGTTCCTGAACGAAGTGTGACCTAATCATACCGACTAGGCCTCGTTTTATGACATAGATTTAGAATTCATTTTATCTGAAAATTTAACAAGTGTAATCTAAATAAAAGCACGCTTCACGTCTATAAATGTAAATATAAAGGCAAAAAAATAATTAATTTTAACAACTGAACCATAGTTGTCTTTGCTAACAAGACCCAAACGGCAATAATTTATTCTAAGTATATATAAAAAAAATGTAAAAACCAAACAATTATCACAGATGTCAAGATTCAGGACGTGTTAATCTCGTGTAAGGAATTTATGACCAGGTTGGGTTGTATCCGGCCCAGTTTAGGTTAGGAGATAGATATACACGTCGATTCTTATGCATCAAACTTATCACACCTCTGAAATATAAAAACAAATATTTTTTCCAGTGCTTAGAATTCATTTAATTTTAATGCGAAACTGTAACAAAAATGTTTCAAATCAAGCTCGCAAAAAATGTTTAAAAGGTCTATTATTTTCTTATTTAAAAAGAAAAAACTTATATTTTTCTTCTTTTTCCTTAATTTAATAAATGTTAAAACTACCTGTAAGCCATTCTAGGCACTCCTGACTTGAAATCGTCCATAATTCCTAGTGCTTTAGAGAACTGCTTGAAATTTTCCTTTGTACGGTAAGTAATACGTACTGCCCCCTCCTCCTCTATATTACCCTTAACATAGAAATAAAATAAATATTAGATCGAAGATCAGGTTTAAAGACGCGTTTTTAAGTGACAATCCATTAAGAATTATATAATTTATTTTATGCAAAAAATGTAATTTCAAGTGACCTTCCGTGCAGCAAAGATGGCAATTCCTGATTTCCAATGGTCCCTATAATCCTTCATCTGATAATTAATGTGGAAGATATTGTCGTGTTTAGGATAATTCCTATGTTTTCCTGCAGTAGAAATTGTAGAGAAACCACATTTAAAATTTTTCAGTTTTTAAAATTAAAAACATTGATATATAGTTCATGCTAAATCTGAAAAGGCTTTTGAGGCTACCGCTATGTCTCAGACATTGTCATCTTTGCATTGGGGGTCACTTGAAATTACGTTTTAAGACAGAAAAATGACAAAACTTACTCTTTGTTGCTCAAATCTAATTGATGAAAACCTAACCTGTTTAATTTCATCCAGTGAATGTACAGGGGCATCATATACATCAGCAATATAACTATAAAAGTTTTTAAAAAGTATTTGATAAATCTTTATATATATTTTGCTTGGATAGTCAGAATTTAAAAAATTCTTTTAAATATTCGATTTTTCAAAATCCACGAAAAAAAATCGATAAATCCTCGAAATTTATTTTTGTTTCTGTTAGATAATTTAAGAACAGTAAAACATGTAATTATTTTTCTTAAATTCTTAAAAATATACACCCCCATATTTTTAAGCACTACATTATATTATTAATACCTTTTGTTATCATCCAACCCAATCCCGGAAAGAAGTCCGTTCTGTAAAGAAGATCCGCGGCATTTTCATCGATTAACCCCTGCTTCCCGTTGTCATTCCAGGCACTCACGCACCACAGACTTGAGTCCGTTTTCAGCAGAGGTAATGTCGCGGAGAAATATTCATAAAAATCCGGGGACACTTCCAGGTCGTCTTCAACTATCACAACTTGGTCGTAATTGAAGACATTGAAGGTTTGGTTTAGCGCCCAGCCGTAATGTCTAAACATAAATTAAACATGTAAACAAACAAAGAAATAATGAATTTTCGTAAAAACAAGAAATATTTGACTAGGGATGAATATTTTTTAGAATTCGGGGGGGAAAATATTAAAAATGGGGCATCAAAGGCTAGTTTTTTTTAAGGGGAGTGACCGCCAATGGATGGTGGTTGAACTGAGATTGCAGTATTGTATAGAATTTCTTTAGGATTCATTATAAACATTGGACATATAAAACGTTTCAATGATCTACAATTACTGAGTTTGAGCGCTAAGTCCACGTTCAAAATCATCTTTTTGGGTGGATACGCTTTGAGCTCAAACTCAGTGAGCTTACATAGTAGGAACATTTAATACAGGGTGTCCCACATCACATTAGACCGAGAACGGGTTCAAATTACGATTTTCGGGACTAATTAGAAAATTTCATTAGAATGAATCATTTAGAAAAATAACATAAGGCTTATTTAAGAATTTTCTTTTGCGGAATATGATAAGTTTTTCGAGTATTAAGGGTTTATTTTGGTGTTAAAGATTGGAGATAATCTAATATGATATGGGACGCTCTGTATGTCTCAAATATATCCCAAAGAATTTGTCCACAATATTTCACTCAGTTCAACTACCATACATAGCCGGTCACTCCCTTTAATACCTTTAAATAAAAATAAATATTTTGTTAATTCAAAATTATTTATTTTCCCCTATTTATCGAACAAATCCTAAAAAAAACTTGCATAACTTTTTTTTTTTTTTTTTTTGGGGGGGGGGGAAAGTATTGTTCGAGAAAATATACACCCCTGTACTTGACATGAGTGCGAATTGGGCTAACCTTGCAATCTTGAAGTATCCTTTAAATTTAATTTCCTTTGCAGGAACCGCAGGTTCAGAGAGATCAGGTTGTTGAATGCTGATAACCTGATCACCATAACCTTTAATAACATCAGCTGTCTCCTACAATAGTATTCTAATAAGTTTATTTTGAAAGAAACCAATCTGTTCTTGTTTACTTTCCGTATATTTCAGCTGGATCAAGGAATCTAATCACTTTTACAATTTTAGTGACTTTGAGCTGATTTTATGCGTTGTTGAACTAGATTAACTGGTTTTTTGTTTCAGAGAACAATTAAAGCTTAAGTAGTTAAATCCGGATTTGTTTAACAATCCCGCATTAAACCAACACAGAGCTAATGTCTAAGCAAAAAATCCTCCAGAAAAAAAAAACATTTTAAAGCCAATGATTGTTTAAGCCCGACCCTGTTGCTGAACGGTCCTAATACGTAAAATGTTAAATCTTCCTTCCCGTAGTTCAAGCTCTGATTGGTTTACCTTATGCCCGCAGTCTTGGGTAACTATTATAGGGAAGAGTTCTTTGTCCGGTCTGTAGGTTATCAATAGGTCCAGGGCCTTGTTCACGGTTACTCTGAACAATATCTATTTTGAGAGTAAGGAAAAATGCTAGAATTGTTAATGTTCAGCTCAAGATTTTAAATATTCGATTCAAGTCTAAAGGAGCAAAAATAAATCGATATTAATCATACTATATCGACGTATCTTTGCTTGACTGAGGGGGGTGGGGGGTATTGTGACATTAAATATTTAAAGAGTATTTTCAAATAATGGGGGGGGATTACAAACTGTACATATATACACCTCTGATCAACTCACCTGTTGCAAGCAAAGAGAAGAATAGGAATCACTTGATTAGGTTTTCCTTGTCCCGGTTCATCCTTTCCAGGAACTATCTCCTCATCCTCGTTCTTCTCCGTGCCCTTCTCTTCTTCCTCAACCTCCTTCTTCTCCTCCAGACGCTCCTCCTCTTTGTCCTTGTTATCCACTCCTCCCGACTCTTGATTCACATGATTGTCCGCCTGTTGAACCTGCTGAACATGTTCTTCAGCATTGGCGGCTAAATATCTATATTTATCTAAGAGCTGACTGTTCCCCTCAATCTGTTTTCTTAATCTAGTCTCCAGTCCGTTCAGTCTCTCCTCGAGCAATCTGAAAATACCAAATGTCAAATTGTTTCCCCGATCATTTTCCCCACCAACCCTTTTAAAAATCACGCTTTTCTCTTTAGTTGTTTGGGTATTCTGCCCTGAATTGGGGAAAAAAAAATCAAAGCATCTTGAATAAATCTTGAAAATATATCCGGGTCCGGTTTTATCTTTTGCGAAGTGATTTGGTTCTGAATAGGGATCCAAACTAATTCGGTTTGCAGAATACAGGTTCAAGGTCTAATTATCAGTACAAAAAATGACCAAGCTCCAGGATTTTTTTTAAACATTCGATTTTTTAATTGACCCTTGACAATAACTAAAATGAACAAAATTGTACTGGAACCTGGGCCTTGAATAAACATAATAAATTAATCATCTATTAACATAAGTTTTCAGCCACTCGAATCCAATTATTGATAATAAATTAGTAAATATTTAATATTAAATGAACTACAAATCAAGTTTATAAATGCAGTGGGGGGGGCAGCAGAAGAGATAAAAAAAAATCACTTGTCTCAAACTCTATTTTCTAATTCTTATCACCTTTGATATGTCTGCAAGATCTAAAAATATCAGGTTGCAAATATGAAGTAGAAAATTAGTGCTTGAGTCAAGGGATCAGTTCCTTTCTAACCTCTGGTTTGAGGGTGCGGGTTGATGATCGACATTGTTACTCCGGGAAGATAAAAGATAAAGTACACCCAACCACAAAAAAGACCAGAGCACATAGAAAATGTGCTTCCTCATCCTAAAATTATTTAAATATATAAATAGGAAGTTTTCAATAAATAAGACTTTTTTACTGTGTAGGCAAGAAAATTTCTTGAGATTTAATATTTTTGAATTATAGGATTTTTCAGAAAATAAATTTACTGAGAAAGGTAAAACGCGTCTTTACGCTATTTAGATTATAATTCTTATAATTTAATGTATACCACTGAAATGCAAAAGAATTTCTTTTCAACATTTCTTTTTCATTGTTGTAGGTAACAAAAAATCTATATACAAACTGCTACTGCTACTAGACTTCAGTTTTGTGGGATTAACAAACTAAAACATCTGTTCTCACTAAAATTAGCAATAATGAGTAAGAATAAGTCAGTGACTAATCAATCCATCTAATCTCAAAAATATGCTGTAGTTGCTACTTTATCCCTCTCCAATGAAATAAATGGACTTATATTATCCTTATTGGCAAAACAGGTTTTCACTCGGGTTTGGAAATTTATTAATTTATAAAAAGAAGAAATTATGACGGATACGTCCAGGAATCATACTGTATTGTTGTAATGTACTGCGCATAATTTGTGAATATTTACATTAATCGTATACTTTGATCTCCCTTCCAGGCTTAAAGAGACTGCAGAAATTCATACCGAGGGATAGTTTTATTTTCCTTCTATTATTATCTCTATTCTGTGCTTTACCCATCTTAAATGTTAATAATCTTTCTCGTTTTACCCAATCCCAAATTTGTTATCTATAAATGATTCTCTTCAGTATTACCTACTAGCATTAAATGATTGGTTCCCTTTCTAAACTATTTCTATTCCCACTTTTAATATTTCCTGAGAACAAATTTTCAAAAAGCTTTTAACGTTAAACATGTGTTATTAGACATACACTACCGATGACATCTAATTTGCAAAAAAGTACTTAGTTATAGTTTAAAAGGGGGGAGGGAACTAAGACTAACTAAAGCTAAAGGATGATAAAAGATTAGAACCCTTAAAGAACACACTTTTATTTCATACTAGCTGAAAGGCCCGGGCGTTGCCCGTAAAAAACGAAATTTTTGAGAAAAAAATTACGATTTTTTATTGCCTCTAACACGGCCACCCATGAGTGTCCACAAAAAATTTCAGCCCAATCGGTCCAGCCATTTGGCCGGCTATAGGCAACATGTATATATAGTATATACGAATGTCTTGTTTTTTATATTGATGAAAAAAGTTGTATCTTCACCTTTAGTCATCTGGGTCTACGAAGAGAAAAGATCCAAGCCCTCCCTTTCATTATCTAAGAAAACTCCATCTGTAATTATTGTTGAAAATAGTTATGATAATATATACAAGTATTTTTATTGATTAAATATGATATTTTAGTTAACACACGTGTACAGAAACCAGATTGAATGAACAACGAGAAGTCGCTGAACCGTACAGACGCAGTTTAACCACTTTCCTGTTTTGTGCTTGAACCACGTCTATGCGGTTCACCATAAATCTGATCTCGGCCAGGTAAGTTTCTAATTGATCCAATTAATTATTAAGACCATATTCTTAGGATAAACTGAACATGGTAAAACCTGACAGGATAATTTTCTATAAACCGCGTACATCGTATATATATGTAACACTGGCCATAATATCTCTGATCACATTTTTAAATGTGTAGGTGTGGGTGCTGTGTAAAAAAGCGTACTCTAGGACGGGAATGAGATTGTTAATAAACATGTCATTTAAGGGGAATTTTTAATCTGTGAGCTTCGACTTTCCTAGACACCCCCCCCCCCCCAATCGTCTAAATCACTTTTAAAAAGTCTTTGCGTAGAAAGAAATTCATTTAAATTGCATATGGTTATTAATGCTAGAGATAGTTTACTCGTTCATCAAAAAGAAGGGTAGTCCCAGCTAGCGTGATAATGTTTTACATTTTTCATAGTCTTCAAAAAACTTAGTTTTTAAAGGTTAGTACAGTTTACAATTTTGTTTATGGCATGCATGGATCTCGTTTTCAAAGTAATTAACGAATTGAAATAAATGGTAAAGAAAAGGTCATTAAAAAATTTGTTCATGTTTCAATTGAATCAAGTGTAATTTCAACTATTCTCGGGTTTATGATTGAATTCTTGTTTTACTTTTGTCGCCGAGTCGCCCAACGTTTGATGTTCCAAGCTGGCACCTAATTGTTAGGATGTGCAATGCCGCAAAGTTTATATAAAAAAATAAAATTCTTTACCTCGTCGTCTTCTTTGCTCTAGATCTCAAAAGAAAACAAGAAGGACTACTGAAGGGGAGAATTCCCCCCAAAATAAAAATCCCCTGGCCCTTAAATAGTGACGGGAGTAGACGGAGCTCCTGTCTTGTTGGTCAGATCTGCGGATTGTGTCAGCATTTCAGCCAAAACAGTCTGTGGAGTCCAAGTTTCTGTACCCCTTAACCCTGCAACAATTACATCATCATCCAGCCGGTCAATGGGGCGCGAGGGCATATACAGACACAAAACACAAGAAAAAGATAAGTATCTAAAAATTTTATATAGTATAACTTGTCAGAGAATTGCATTGTTTTAACAACAGGGATCAATGTGTTCTGTTGAAAAAAAAAAAAACACAGAAAAACCTTTAATTAATGCGGTCAGTCCTGGGGTTAAAGTTAAACGGTCACAGACAAATTGTGTTAAAGCATGGGAGAAAACACCGCAACCAGTAGAACCCTAGAACTAGGAGACCAAGGAGTACATCAAGGGAGCGCAGAACATCAACCAGAACCAGAGCAGCATCTCTAGAGAAGATGCAATGGACAGGGAATATCAATATCAACAAATCATTAGTAGATAGCAGGTCAGAAATTAGAGTAGAAAATAGGTCAGGAAGTAGGTGAGAAAGTAGGAGAGAGTAGTTTATGGACTGACAAGGAATACAAAAATGTAAAAAAGAGGAGAGGGGGGGATATTCATGCCATATTGGGGAGAAAAAGGTTTTGATTGCAAAAGTGAAAAATTCAGTAATTTCAGCCCAGGCAAGGAAAATGGATACTGATAGTTCACAATTTAAACAGAAAGAACAACAATGAATTTTTATATCCAGTACTATTAAATACAATCATTAAACACAATCTGGTGGTATCAAAATTCTCACCCCAGGCAGGAGTATTGCGCATACCCAAACAATTTAATATACAATTAAAATATTTAAGCTGCAGAAAACCAAGTTCATTATATAAATATTAAGAATTTCAGGGCGTCATAGAATTCGCATGATTTCTGATAATCCCTTTACAATATACATGTATGAAAATAGGCGAGAATGTATGTATTGAATTATATATTTATTAATAATGTGTTAATTATATAAGATTTTGTCTGACAACTCTACAGCAAGGTAGAACCCTGAACCAGCTTCTAAACCTAGAATTTAAATTGATAGTTTCATCTCTAGGTTCAGGTTCAGGATCAGGTTCAGAATTAGGTTCAGGATCAGTTATTTTCTCTCCTCCATTCCTCATTTTCTTCTCCTCTTCAGACAAAAATCTTAATGTTGATATTTGTTTTCTCGTTTAATTTAACTTATCTATGGTGGTAGGTGATTATATCAATATAATGATTTCACAGCTTTTTCTTTAAGTTTTTTAATTGACAACTTGTCTTTGTTTCCATGTTTTTGTGTATTCATGCTGTTTAAAAGCTGATATAAATTCTTTTTATTGATATAATTGTCTACCATTATATTACAAAATTTTATTACAAGTTTCAAATTTGGAAATTAATTGAAAGAAACTATGCTTTTGCACAATCTTAAACTATTTATCTTTTTAACCTGGAGGTGTAAACCTTTGATAATTCAAACTTGGATTGTTTAATCTGGCAGTATTCATAGTATACCAATCTCAAAGGTCTAAGACATTTTGTTGCAAAGGTATCGGAATTAAAAAAATAAGATCTTTTAGCAAAAACTCAATTCCTTTAATGAACACTTCCTTTAAAACTAAAATCTTTTAATCCCTAATCCTTACAATCTTACGGTGAAACCCTTTAATAGATATCCAACTTTGACTTTAAGATTATAGCCTAATCTATTTTTCGAAATTTTGAAGGTTTACGACATCAGATTTCAAAGATATAAGGATTAATAAGAGTTCGAGGTTGGTGTTTAGTTATTTTCTCGACTCAGAGTCAACTGGCAGCATGAATCAAGGGACTGATTTAAAGGCATCCCAAGGACCAAAAACTAACTATGGCTTTGCGTTCATGACACTTTTTAATGTTTTTTTATTATTATTTTAGAAGAAGGATCAGACCTGAGTTGAATTGTTCTATAAATTTGTCTGGCAGATTGGGATTCTTCTTTATTCTTTCTCTCATTCTCCTCTTCGTCCTCTTCTAAACCTTCAGTCTCTGCATCCGCAGAACCTTGAAAACAAAATAGATTATTTATTTTCTTTATTATTGTTTATATGATTATATCGAAATCTTATTGGGTAGTGTCAATTCATCAATGTTTTCTTTAATTCTCTCAATATTTTCAAATTGTCGTGGGTCATTCTCAAAAAGTTTAAAGATTTGAGTACCATAAAAGATTCACAAAACTCCACTTTCCTTCAACAAAAAAAATGTGATGGTATCTTAGTTTTCTATCTAAAATGTTGAGAATATACTGCTGAATGTTCCTGGAAGGCAACTCAAGTTTTATCAGCAGTTCCGAGCCAGAAAAATGGTGAGATTTGTCCTTTTCGAAATAGAAAATTGGTAAGATTTGTCCTTTTCGAAATAGAAAATTGGTGAGATTTGTCCTTTCGAAATAGAAAATTGGTGAGATTTGTCCTTTCGAAATAGAAAATTGAGAATCTATCTGTTCTTGAATAAAAGGTTGATGGAAATTCCTATTTTTAGAACTTTATCTTAAAACCTTTATCTGATCCATAAAGAGGAAATTATTGTCACTTTTATAGATTTAAATTTTAATAATTCTTCTAAGTTTTCCTGCAGTAGAAGTTCACTTTTGTAGAGAACCTCTAATTAAAAATAACCAGTTTTCCGAATAATAAACATGGATATCTAATTCACATACTTGATCAGAAAAAGCTTTCAAGGTTACCGTCGGAAATCGGGCATTAACATCTTTACATAGAGGGTCACTTGAAGTTTTGCTTTAAAGATGTTTTAAAAACATATAATAATTGAATTACCTTCATACATTTTAGATTCATTTGAAATTATGTTTGTTTTGTTTTTACATAATGATGAACAGCACCTAAACAATAGGTTGTGGCACAAAATTTATGATTTTTATAGATTTTAAAAGTCTTATTTTTTTTTAACAGAACATGATTTACCAAGAAGAGAAATCATCCAGGTTTTCAAGGATGATTCACATTTCAGTTTAATAATTCCGATTAGACTATGAATACTGCATTAGGATGGAACTTATTTCTCTAGAGTGAAGAATAGTACTGATCTAGGAATAGCGTGCACTGTACCAACCCCGGAGTAATTCCTTTCCTCTCGAACATTATCAATTGGTAATATTTGTATCATTTGTAAATTAAAATCCACTTTTCATTTTTCCACATGCAGCCGTTATGGCATACGAAAATCGGGGTTCGCTCCCCCCCCCCTCCCCCTCTACATTTAATAGTAAAATTATATGATGAAATTATTTTTTTTAACAATACAAATCTTGAAAACTATTTTGAACTTAAATATAAAAGTTTTGAATTTTTCTGTTTAGTTCATCGTTTTTAATTCCAATCAAAAAATTCAATAGAAAAGGTCGGAAATCATCTGTTCCATGAAATGGAAATTCCGTGATTTCCACATGCAATTATTTTGTGAGATATCCGTCCAAACCCTTTTTGTGGTTGGACAATCTTTGATAATAATCAAGTAGAAGTAATATATATGTATCCCCTAAGATTAAAAAAGGAGACAAAGACCAACCATATTTAACAGAGAGATTCTACGGCACATTAAAATAAATTAATTTAATTCTACATAATTTGATATTTTAACGTTTAATGCAACAAATGCAGCCTGGCAAGATCACGAGCAAAATCCTAGTAAGGGAATTGAGATTTTGCAACAAACTCTGATTTTCGAATCCCTATATCTTTGCAACCCAATGTTATAGACCTTAGGTATTTAAAACTATGAATTCTGATAGATAAAATATTCTAGGTTTGAAATATCAAACGTTTACACCATCAGATTATAAAGATTATAAAGGGATTATAAAATTTGAGGTTGAGTTTTTGGCAAAGACAAAATTCCTTTTTGCGTCAAAATGTAAAGTCCTATAATTGTAAATTTAAAAAAAGTCAGTCTAATAATGAATGTTACGCCATTAAAAAAGAGGCAAAACATTTATCTCGGAAACGATGCTGTTCTCATCCGGCAGAACGTTTTTTATGATTAAGCATATCTTTCTCAGTTTAAAGAAGCAACAAAATGGAAGTGGTTTCTTCTTTTCCAGAATTTAACACCGTCGATTTGATCATGTTTTAAATTGTTGAAAGGACTTTCTAGATAGAGGGTATAAACGTAAAAAATAATGTTTACAATTCCTTTAAAAACCCCAAATTCATGATTATTTATCTAGTATATATTTACAAAGTGTGTCCCACGAAACACACCAGTAGCAAGACGATTTCGAGAATAACACATGTAAAAATAGGTTGAAGCACGAATACCGCAAAAAATTTCAAAGATCAAAGACGACCCTCAAGTTGTTTTTTCTGCTGTCAAGGTTTTTGGTACATCTTGTATGTGTGGAGATATTGAGGTGATAAGTAGGTTAATTTCTTAATTAGTATTGAAGAGGTTGAGCAGGACACATGATGATTTCTTTTCCAATATTTCCTCCTCCTTCCCCCTCCCAATATTCACTCCCCCCTCTCCTCCTCCTTCTCCTTGTTTGTTTTGTATGTATAAATATACAGGGGTATAAAGTAACTTTTAATCTCCTTCACACTGTTAAATCTGTAAAGTTGTTGGGAATTTGGCTAAGTGACACCATGGACTGGGAGCTAAACACCATGGAGAGTTGCAAGAAGGCGTATGCTAACCCTCTACATAATCTTTGTGATAAATATACATCCCTGAACTCTGATCTAATGTAAGATATACCCCTGAACTCTGATCTAATGTGAGTTATATACTCCTGAACTCTAATCTATATGAGATATATACTCCTGAACTCTAATCTATGTGAGATATATACTCCTGAACTCTAATCTATGTGAGATATATACTCCTGAACTCTAATCTATGTGAGATATATACTCCTGAACTCTAATCTATGTGAGATATATACTCCTGAACTCTAATCTATGTGAGATATATACTCCTGAACTCTAATCTATGTGAGATATATACTCCTGAACTCTAATCTATGTGAGATATATACTCCTGAACTCTAATCTATGTGAGATATATACTCCTGAACTCTAATCTATGTAAGATATATACTCCTGAACTCTAATCTATGCGAGATATATACTCCTGAACTCTAATCTATGTGAGATATAAACTCCTGAACTCTAATCTATGTGAGATATATACTCCTTAACTCTAATCTATATGAGATATATACTCCTGAACTCTAATCTATGTGAGATATATACTCCTGAACTCTAATCTATGTAAGATATATACTCCTGAACTCTAATCTATGCGAGATATATACTCCTGAACTCTAATCTATGTAAGATATAAACTCCTGAACTCTAATCTATGTGAGATATATACTCCTTAACTCCAATCTATATGACATATATACTCCTGAACTCTAATCTATGTGAGATATATACTCCTGAACTCTAATCTATATGATATATACTCCTGAACTCTAATCTATGTGATATATATACTCCTGAACTCTAATCTGTGTGAGATATATACTCCTGAACACTAATCTCCCACTACCTCGGATAACTGATGATTCATTTGCGTGATCTTTCTAGACTCATCCTTCTAACGTTTTTCTTGCTTCACATTCACAATCTACATCTTTTCTTTTCCCTTTTCTTCTTTCCTTACTCTCGCCCTGAATCCCAGCTGTGCCACTATCTGTATCCCTGTACCTCTATATGTATCCCTGTACCTCTAATTGTATCCCTGTACCACTATCTGTATCCCTGTACCTCCATCTGTATCCCTGTACCTCTATTTGTATCCCTGTACCACTATCTGTATCCCTGTACCTCAATCTGTATCCTTGTACCTCTTTTTGTATCTTGGTACCACTATCTGTATCCCTGTACCTCTATATGTATCCCTGTACCTCTTTTTGTGTCCCTGTACCACTATCATTATCCCTGTACCTATATATGTATCCCTGTACCTCTATCTGTATCCCTGTACCTCTATCTGTATCCCTGTACATCTATCTGTATCCCTGTACCTCTATCTGTATCCATGTACCTCTATTTGTACCTCACCACTGTATCTATGTAACCAGTGTGCTCCAGATCTCTATACATCTCCGTTTCCCTGTATCTTTGCATCTGTATCTCTTTATCCCTGCATTCCTGTAATCTCACTTTTCCTGTATCTCTGTATTCCTGTATCTCTGTATCTCTGTATTTTCCATGTATTGTATCTCTGTATCCCTATATTCAATTATCCCTATATCCAATTATTCCTATATCCCTGTATCCTTGTATCCCTGTACTACAGGGTGGGGGGGAGAAGGATCAGGTGTTGAGTCTATACGTCCTGACAGATCAGTAATGGATGGAACCCTCCTCTTTATAAAACAGTTTTGGACCATATCAGACAAAAAGCTCTAGAGTTCGATCAGCTCCTGTCCATCTCAGCCCTTGCCATGTTTCCAATCCTTTATCCTCTGTTAATTTAGAAAATGTAGCGGATGAATGAAAGATTTTTTAACTTTTCCGATTTTGCCATATTTTCTAATTTCCCAAGCGAGGAGAACTTCAAACAGAGTTGCGAGGAAAAATATTAAATTGGCAGTCTCGCAAACTTACAACTAACAACCAACAATCTTCACAACAAAATCAATATTTATTTTAAACTTCTTGTTTCATCAGGTTTACGTGACTCTTCACTCAACCTCTCTAATATTAGATAAGATGTTAAATTGTTTTATCTGATTAGGTTCGTAGGTTTACTTCTTATCTTTTAAACATATCTTTTCTTTATATTTTGCCTATTCTTCGTCTTTCGATTTATATTTTGCTATTCTTCGGTTTTTCTTCTTGTTTTTTCTATTCTCATTCTTTTTCTTCTTATTTTACCTATTGTTATTATTTATCTTCTTATTTTACCTATTCTCATTCTTTATCTTCTTATTTTACCTATTCTCATTATTTCCCTTCTTATTTTACCTATTCTCCACCTTTTCCTTTTTTTTACCTATTCTTATTCTTTATCTTCTTATTTTACCTATTCTCATTCTTTCTCTTCTTATTTTGCCTATTCTCATTCTTTATTTTCTTATTTTAATTATTCTCCTTCTTTAACTTCTTATTTTACCTATTCTCCCTCTTTTCCTTCTTTTTTACCTATTCTCATTCTTTATCTTCTTATTTTACCTATTCTCCTTCTTTAGTCTCTTAATTTGCCTATTTTCATTCTTTCTCGTCTTATTTTTCCCCTTCTCATTCTTTTTCTTCTTATTTTACCTAATTTTCTTTTCTTATTTTGTCTCTTATCTTAGTCTTTTTATTTTACTATCTTTATTATTTCTTTTATCATTTTGCCAATTATCGTTCTTTTTCTTCTTATTTTGTCTGATCTCCTTCTTTCTCTTCTTATTTTGCCTGATCTCCTTCTTTTTCTTATTATTTTGCCTGATCTCCTTCTTTTTCTTCTTATTTTGCCTGATCTCGTTCTTTTTCTTATTATTTTGCCTGATCTCCTTCTTTTTCTTATTATTTTGCCTGATCTCCTTCTTTTTCTTATTATTTTACCTGATCTCCTTCTTTCTCTTCTTATTTTGCCTGATCTCCTTCTTTTTCTTCTTATTTTGCCTGATCTCGTTCTTTTTCTTATTATTTTGCCTGATCTCGTTCTTTTTCTTATTATTTTGCCTGATCTCGTTATTTTTCTTATTATTTTGCATATCAGCATTTCTTCTTATTTTGCTTTTCTTCTTGTTTTACCATTCATCATTCTTTTTCCTTTTATTTTAACCTGTTATCATGTTTTCTTTTCTTATTTTTCATATTCTTTCTGAGAATTATCATGAATTCTTTCTTTTAGTACTTTTTTTGCATATTATCATCTACACTTCTGTTTATTTTCATTTTTTCTTTTGTTTAGTTTTGTCTGCAAACAAGCGTTTTATCGATCCAGGAACCCTAATCTAAGGTCTAGTAGAGCTGTGCACAGAGCTTGCAGAATGTTGGGCAGTTTATTACTAAATGTTTAATGAAGGACGGTATAGTGAGAGTAGAGGAACAATACTGAATCATTCATCATCATTACTTTGAGAATATTCATCAGCCCCCCCCCCTTCTTCCTCTTCAATCAAACACAAACATAAGATTTAATTTAATTAACTTAAAATAATTAACATTCATTAACTCCTGCTTTAACTCAAAGTATTTAGAA